AAAAAAAAAAAAAACTGTTTTCTGGGAAGCTTGATGGCAAGAGGCTGGTTCCATGCCAGGACAGACAGTGTAAATGGTGGGACAATTCTGTTTTAGGTAAGAGGTCTTTCTGCTCAGCCTTGCGGGGTATGGTCTTTTCCTATCATTCCGGTGATGGCCCCAATGTTGATGGCATAATAGTACAGCTGAAATATTCAATCAACCATGCTGTCTGAGGAGACCATGAAGATGTGGCAGGTCAATGGATTGGTGCTGAAGCAAAGGAAAATAACTTCTTTTTCTTTTCTTCTTTTTTTTTTAAGAGACAGAGTTTCACTTTATTGCCCTTGGTTGAGTGCTGTGGCAGTGTCACACAGCTCACAGCAACCTCCCACTCCTGGGCTTAGGTGATTGTCTTGCCTTAGCCTCCCAAGTAGTTGGGACTACAAGCGTTCGCCATGATGCCCAGCATTTTTTTTGTTGAGGTTTGGCCAGGGCTGGTTTTGAACCCACCACTCTCGGTATATGGGGTCGGTGCCCTACTCCTTTGAGCCACAGGCACCACCTGATTTTTTTTTTTTTTTTTGAGATAGACTCTCACTTTGTTTGGGTAGAGTGTCGTGGCATCATAGCTCACAGCAACCTCAAAATCATGGGCTGCAGTGATCCTCTTGCCTCACTCAACCTCCCAAGCAGCTGGGACTACAAGGCACATGTCACAATACCTGGGAATTTTTTAGAGACAGGGCCTTGTTCTTGCTCAGGCTGGTCTTGAACTACTGAGCTTAGGCGATCTATCTGCCTCGGTCTCCCAGAGTTCTAGGATTACAGGTGCGTTTTACTTAATTCTTAAACCCAGTCAGATATAATAATTATTATGTAGACTTTTTTTTTTTCTTTGAGACAGAGCCTCAAGCTGTCACCCTGGGTAGAAGTGCCATGGCGTCACATCTCACAGCAACCTCCAGCTCCTGGGCTCAAGCAATTCTTTTGCCTCTGCTTCCCAAGTAGCTGGGACTACAGGCACCTGCCACAACACCCGGCTATTTTTTGGTTGCAGCTACCATTGTTTGGCAGGCCCGGGCTGGATTTGAACCCGCCAGCTCAGGTGTATGTGGCTGGTGCCTTAGCCGCTTAAGCCACAGGCACGGAGCCACTCCAATGGAATCTTTTTTTTTTTTTTTTT